ACAGGTCACAGCAGTTACTATTATTAACTACATGGCTCGAGTGGTCACACAGCGTAAATGTTTCTTGAATGCTTTAAGGCTTGTCAAGTTCCTGCACACTACTGTGACCTTTGACCAAATGAAAGGTCCTTGGTAGGGCAGCGAATGCCTCCCATAGGCCACTGTACCAAAGCGACCAGTACAAAATCGCAGTTTCTAAGGCGTTAGTGTGTACTTTTGATCGTGAATAACTCAGATACACATCTTGGCGCCATCCCGTATTTTACTTTATACATTAGTATTGCAATGTCTTGCAAACGCCTGTTATAAAGCGTAGGCAGCTTAGCGCGGGTGAGGAGTTTCCCGTACGTTTCAGTTTGAGATTTATATCGATACTGCACGCAGCACACGCTCTTGAATGCGCTTGATCTTTTTGCTATTAGATGATTTGCAGAATTTCCATACTAAGTGACAGCAAGTTAAGTATGGCATGATGAACGTCTTCTATAACATTAACTTCGCGTTACAAGGTATAAGTTTCGCAGACGTACAAGTGTTCCTACTTTTTGACTAGCTCTCGTACATAACTCGCTGACCCGCAAAGTTGAGATTCTGTTCAATGTAGACTCCTAGTAATTTCAGTTGCTCTGTTTTCCTGATGTTATGATTATCAATGTTCAAAGTTTTATCGTCATTCTGTGCATCGATATTCCTGGGATTGACGGTTAAGGACTAGAACGTCTCCGGATTAGCAAGTAGAAAGTTGTTTTCATACTGACCAAGACGACGATAAGTGGCCCTGTGTTTTGAGCCTCGATTCTACAGCCCTATGAGTCTCGAAAGCTGCATACAACTGATGCTCGTCAACGTACATGGTGAGTTTTCTTACTAAAGAGATGGCATCTTTGAATTTGTTTGGGGATTGTCAGTGGACAATTGCTTCAGAAACAATCTATAAAAAGATTGAAGGAATGTTGTGAATCAAACTTCTCTTTTCCTCTATTGGCCACGAACAGAGCTTGATGATCAAAGTGAAAGTTCTGTCAATAGGACCGATTTGTCATCATAGACATTTAATTCAAGAAACATTTAAAAGATTCCTAATGACTTTACAAACCATTATACTGATAATGAACCAGCAGTCTCACAAGAGTTGCCAGTTATGTTGTTGAAGGTCAAACCTAAAAGTCAGAACATTTACTGTCAGGCAGGACGAAAGTGTAAGAAACTTTTAGGAAATCTGGAAAAAGTATGTTCCGTATGTAGCGACAAAAATTCATGTAATTTCCTTACTACATCCTTTATAATTCCAGAAAATATCGTTCTGAAGATGTGAGATCGACCATAACAGCTTGATATAAAACTCGTTAAAATCCTTTAAAAAATTGCACATAAAAAATGTCCTAAAAATTCTTTATTTCTGCTACACCTCTTCTGGGAAGTGTCGCTTTAAAAGTTCATCTCGCGCAGAATTATTAGTTTTAAAAGTTACAGCTTCCATGGCGCACATTAAGATTATTCTAAAGAGTGCTTCCAGTATGCATATTATCAAGTTAAGTATCAGTGATAGCTACATGAAATTTACCCGTTGTAAAATTGAGCATAACTGTGTTTATCCTCATTAAGTGACAAAGTTGGCTGTTCAAAAGGTTTTATCTGCTAGGCCTAACTAAGCCACGGGAAACTCATATACTAATCTGCGCAAGATTTTCGCCAAAATCGATAGAACTGCTTCTTTTCCCTATTTTCAATGCTAACATCTCTTTAAAGAAGGGGTATTTCAAATAACACAACCAAGGTAAATTTTGTATTTGCCGCAAGTAGGCGATGCTTATAAGGTCTTCCTAATTATCTATAGATGTCAGTTATCGGGTGAATCAGGCTACCTTTTCAGTTGTTTCGTTGCTCCCGGAAATTTTCCGCTGGAACGACCCGAGAAGTCGTGTTCCATTTACCCTTCAACCGGGTTTTACGGAAACGTTTTGACATGGTAACTCGTCGTCTAGTCTTATAGACTATAAGTACATTTGGACTGCGATGCCAAAATCAACACTTAGTCTACGTGTACACATTACCCCCAAATTAAAGAAAGGATAACTGCTTTGTTTTATTTGTTTATTTTTTTTTCAGATTTAACTGTCAGCCAAACAAAGATCAATCTCTCTAATTGTGCAGCCATAACGAGTTTCAGACAGGCACGACCCAATGGCGAACAACACTTCATTCACGCCTTCTGCAGCAGTTCGAACCGGGTCCAGATGTAACTTCCGATTCTTCAACGACACGGAAATATGGCTGCAGGTGACTTCTTACCTGCTGATTATTCTTTTCTCCAGCTTTGGAAATACAGTCATCATAAGCATTGTAAAGAAAAATCGACGCATGCGCAGTCCCACCAATTACTTTACTGTCAACCTTTGTTTGGCCAACCTAATGATCATGCTAATGAACGTTGTACCATACGTCGTAGGAAGAATTTCCCCTCATATCGGTTATGGGATCAGTGGTAGGTACTTACAAAATCGACAGCAATTTTCCATGGTCTATTTAATCCTTAAGCCCTAATATGCAGATACAAATTCTCCACGCTAGTCTTCGTACATTACTTTAAAGAATTAGCTGATAGTAAGAATTTGATAACAGAGCAAAGTATTTCTCCTTTGGCGTCATTTTTATTTATTTTTACAACCTTTTCTCTTGATGATATATTGATAGTGGTAAAAGAAAGTAGTTGTTTGTCACTCTTTGGACTTAACTGAACGGTTAACAAATATACTCGTCCCTCGTTGACAAAATTGTGACAAGACGTATAAACAGGAGGAAATCTTCACAGCAGTTGCCATCGTATGTCATCGCTACGAGAGACTCGCAGTTTGCGGAAAATGTTTTTCGTGAATTTTTTGCTTTGAGCAAGTGAGGACGTTGAATAACTTTTCGGAGAAACTCTATACAAGTAAGATAAAGAGGAGACTAACGAAGCAGAGATGAAAAGTTAAACGTTTGTAGCTTAAAACATACCTAAACTGATCTAAACTGAAATCCTCGAACAACTAATCAAGCGGTAGGAGGCAAATATGTAGTTTTTTTCTTCTCACTGTGTGAAACAAATAGATTTCATGTTGCTGTGGGTCTGTTCAGTAATAGATCACGGAAACGTCAGAATGTGGTAAAAACATCAGACTGAGTGACACACTCGCCTGAAGCTCGTGTGCCACTTCGTTGTTTTATCACGTTTTACGTCATCTGTGATCGATTACGGCGACGGTGACGGCAACGTCAAAAAGCAACCGGTTTAGTTAGCAAAACAACAACTCTGCACGTGCATCACGCTCGTTTGTACATTTCTTTGCTACCCTTGTGCGACTACGACGTGAAATAACCAAGTTTTAAGTTTTTTCGAGGGCGGGAAAGGAAAGGTGATAAATTCTAACATCTCTGTCTGAACTCGGGAGCGGCCCCCTCTCTTCAGCGCCAGCTTCAGCTTCTTTCAAGTAACTGGGCGAATTTTTTTTTTGTATTTTAACGAATTTTTTGTTTTGTTATGTTTTACATTTTTTTACATTCTGACTTATGAACACGGAACACGTAAGGAAAAATACAAAAAACGGAAACGAAAACTAAACATTATACAACGCAGACTAACACACAATTACATACTTACAAAAAAAGAAAACAAACGAAACAAAAACCCGGTACCTTCTTTTCTATTTACATGAAAAAAAGTAACATAAAACAAATAAAAAATAAAGATTAATAATAAATGAAGTAAGCGGAGAAGAGATCGTATGCTAAGCAATTTTATATTTGCCCCATTTCATATTGTGGGTCTCCAACTTATTTTTTCACTTAGCGATCATTGTCTCTATTAAGAAGACAGCATTAATTTTGGAATGAAGAACTCTGATGGAGGGAGGATATTTGTTCTGTCTACAAGAGTATAGATATTGTTTTGCCAGTAATAGAATATGATTCACAAATATCTCATCCTCACATCCAATAATACCAAACAGTATATCTTTGACTGAGCGAATTGGGATAATCGCGAAATGGTTTGAAAGGATGCGGAGGCTATTTTTCAGTGAACTTTTCATGGACGTTGCCGTTGTCGGATTGTAAGGTCCCCATGACACGCACAGCAACATGGAATATATCTGTTCAATAGATCACCCCTCAAAAAATCGTTCTGTTGTTGTAAAAAGTTATTTGGCATATCTAATGGTATTTAAACTATTTTATAGTCAACAAAAAGCTTTCAATTAGAGGGCAATTTCGAATTTATGATTATTTTACCATTATTTCAGGCTTAGCTGGTACAATTATCTGCAAGCTTCACGTATTTCTGAACGGCTGCACGCTTAATGCAGCCATTCTCACCCACAGTGATAGCTACATGAAATTTACCCGTTGTAAAATTGAGCATAACTGTGTTTATCCTCATTAAGTGACAAAGTTGGCTGTTCAAAAGGTTTTATCTGCTAGGCCTAACTAAGCCACGGGAAACTCATATACTAATCTGCGCAAGATTTTCGCCAAAATCGATAGAACTGCTTCTTTTCCCTATTTTCAATGCTAACATCTCTTTAAAGAAGGGGTATTTCAAATAACACAACCAAGGTAAATTTTGTATTTGCCGCAAGTAGGCGATGCTTATAAGGTCTTCCTAATTATCTATAGATGTCAGTTATCGGGTGAATCAGGCTACCTTTTCAGTTGTTTCGTTGCTCCCGGAAATTTTCCGCTGGAACGACCCGAGAAGTCGTGTTCCATTTACCCTTCAACCGGGTTTTACGGAAACGTTTTGACATGGTAACTCGTCGTCTAGTCTTATAGACTATAAGTACATTTGGACTGCGATGCCAAAATCAACACTTAGTCTACGTGTACACATTACCCCCAAATTAAAGAAAGGATAACTGCTTTGTTTTATTTGTTTATTTTTTTTTCAGATTTAACTGTCAGCCAAACAAAGATCAATCTCTCTAATTGTGCAGCCATAACGAGTTTCAGACAGGCACGACCCAATGGCGAACAACACTTCATTCACGCCTTCTGCAGCAGTTCGAACCGGGTCCAGATGTAACTTCCGATTCTTCAACGACACGGAAATATGGCTGCAGGTGACTTCTTACCTGCTGATTATTCTTTTCTCCAGCTTTGGAAATACAGTCATCATAAGCATTGTAAAGAAAAATCGACGCATGCGCAGTCCCACCAATTACTTTACTGTCAACCTTTGTTTGGCCAACCTAATGATCATGCTAATGAACGTTGTACCATACGTCGTAGGAAGAATTTCCCCTCATATCGGTTATGGGATCAGTGGTAGGTACTTACAAAATCGACAGCAATTTTCCATGGTCTATTTAATCCTTAAGCCCTAATATGCAGATACAAATTCTCCACGCTAGTCTTCGTACATTACTTTAAAGAATTAGCTGATAGTAAGAATTTGATAACAGAGCAAAGTATTTCTCCTTTGGCGTCATTTTTATTTATTTTTACAACCTTTTCTCTTGATGATATATTGATAGTGGTAAAAGAAAGTAGTTGTTTGTCACTCTTTGGACTTAACTGAACGGTTAACAAATATACTCGTCCCTCGTTGACAAAATTGTGACAAGACGTATAAACAGGAGGAAATCTTCACAGCAGTTGCCATCGTATGTCATCGCTACGAGAGACTCGCAGTTTGCGGAAAATGTTTTTCGTGAATTTTTTGCTTTGAGCAAGTGAGGACGTTGAATAACTTTTCGGAGAAACTCTATACAAGTAAGATAAAGAGGAGACTAACGAAGCAGAGATGAAAAGTTAAACGTTTGTAGCTTAAAACATACCTAAACTGATCTAAACTGAAATCCTCGAACAACTAATCAAGCGGTAGGAGGCAAATATGTAGTTTTTTTCTTCTCACTGTGTGAAACAAATAGATTTCATGTTGCTGTGGGTCTGTTCAGTAATAGATCACGGAAACGTCAGAATGTGGTAAAAACATCAGACTGAGTGACACACTCGCCTGAAGCTCGTGTGCCACTTCGTTGTTTTATCACGTTTTACGTCATCTGTGATCGATTACGGCGACGGTGACGGCAACGTCAAAAAGCAATCGGTTTAGTTAGCAAAACAACAACTCTGCACGTGCATCACGCTCGTTTGTACATTTCTTTGCTACCCTTGTGCGACTACGACGTGAAATAACCAAGTTTTAAGTTTTTTCGAGGGCGGGAAAGGAAAGGTGATAAATTCTAACATCTCTGTCTGAACTCGGGAGCGGCCCCCTCTCTTCAGCGCCAGCTTCAGCTTCTTTCAAGTAACTGGGCGAATTTTTTTTTTGTATTTTAACGAATTTTTTGTTTTGTTATGTTTTACATTTTTTTACATTCTGACTTATGAACACGGAACACGTAAGGAAAAATACAAAAAACGGAAACGAAAACTAAACATTATACAACGCAGACTAACACACAATTACATACTTACAAAAAAAGAAAACAAACGAAACAAAAACCCGGTACCTTCTTTTCTATTTACATGAAAAAAAGTAACATAAAACAAATAAAAAATAAAGATTAATAATAAATGAAGTAAGCGGAGAAGAGATCGTATGCTAAGCAATTTTATATTTGCCCCATTTCATATTGTGGGTCTCCAACTTATTTTTTCACTTAGCGATCATTGTCTCTATTAAGAAGACAGCATTAATTTTGGAATGAAGAACTCTGATGGAGGGAGGATATTTGTTCTGTCTACAAGAGTATAGATATTGTTTTGCCAGTAATAGAATATGATTCACAAATATCTCATCCTCACATCCAATAATACCAAACAGTATATCTTTGACTGAGCGAATTGGGATAATCGCGAAATGGTTTGAAAGGATGCGGAGGCTATTTTTCAGTGAACTTTTCATGGACGTTGCCGTTGTCGGATTGTAAGGTCCCCATGACACGCACAGCAACATGGAATATATCTGTTCAATAGATCACCCCTCAAAAAATCGTTCTGTTGTTGTAAAAAGTTATTTGGCATATCTAATGGTATTTAAACTATTTTATAGTCAACAAAAAGCTTTCAATTAGAGGGCAATTTCGAATTTATGATTATTTTACCATTATTTCAGGCTTAGCTGGTACAATTATCTGCAAGCTTCACGTATTTCTGAACGGCTGCACGCTTAATGCAGCCATTCTCACCCTTGCTGTGATCGCAGCAGATAGATTCATCGCCATATTTTTTCCTCTGAGAGGGGCAATCAACTCTCGGAAAGCAATTTGGTTAATCGCTGCAACATGGTTTGTCCCAGCTCTTCCAGGCACCATCTTACTCTATGTGAATAGAATCTATGAGTTCCATGGCAGTTGGTACTGTCTTGAATTCTGGGAGCCAGATATTCCAATAATCTACAATACCGTATACTCCGCTGCAGATGTCATATTGTTTTACGCCCTTCCTTTGTTAGAAATAATCGTCTTTTACAGCGCTATAATCTACAAGATATGGATGCGCAAAATCCCGGGGCAAACGACGACAGCCAATCAACAGCTCGAAATGAAAGCAAAAAAGAACGTGTTTAAGATGCTCATCGTAGCAGTTCTAACATTCGCATTACTGTGGCTTCCTTCCAGATTGATCATGTTGATTTCTACGTTCGACAGTCTGCCTTGCTTCCGAACTCCAACTCTTCGCTTTATGGGGAACTTCCTCGCCTACTTGAACTGCGCTATAAACCCGTTTATTTATATCATGTTCAGTCAAGATTATCGAAAGGCTTGCAAGGCATTATTTGACTGCGTGCCTTGTCGGAAGGTCGATCTTTCCCGTCTACACAGCCAATCCATGGACATCACCGAGTTAACCAACAGTGGTCGCCAAAGTGGCCTGGGCATGGGGAGTTTCAAAAGGATAGATAACATATAATTATAAGTAAAGGGTTTCAGTCCTTTTTCGCTGTGTGTGGGCACGGTGAGGAATAACGCTACGACAGACAAAAAAGGGAAATTTCCATTGATATAGAACTTTTCACGTGTTTTTTCAACTTTTGCCATGGACAACTTGGGGAAATTCGTCGGCAGCACTGAAAAGAGCGACTTAAGGTTTGTAAAATTGCTTAGTTTGAAAGCTGTTTGAAATTGTTGAAAACTAACTAAGATAGAGCTTCTCAAAGTCACGATATTTTACAGACGCTAGTATGGTGGGGGGCATAAACATGTGTCCCAACTATACAAACGTCTTTAATTTTTCACAAATTTGCGGAGCAACAACTTCGCTCGCTTAAGACGTATCACTTTCAAATTTGGGAATTTTATTAATATTAAGGAGCTTTTTTTATTGGTGTTGATCGATTTTCCCTAACTTGTCCATGTCAAAAGTTGAAAAACAAAGGTGAAAAGGTCTATCCTTTTGCAAATTCTGCATTCTGATAGGCTGTCGTATTTGTTAAATTCAGCTTATCTATCTATCAATAATCTGCAGAAAGATTTTGGGTTTTTCTTTTTGCAAAAAGGAAAACTGCTGAATACATAACAAGACTGGTATGTCCAATTGCAATTGTGAAATATTCGGTGCAGTATTTTTAGCAAGATATTGATAATTAATACTTTTAAGCACGCTGATAATAAATAATTATAATATCTAATATGTTAACGTTGCAAGTCGTGGGAGACTCAATCTATCAAGGTACCAAGATTTCATGAAACTTAATGGATTGAAGTTCATAGCTTTGGCCTGGAAAATTGGAAAAAAAATAATGTCTCTTATGGCGCAATTGCAAGCCGCTTGTACGTCCAGAGAAAATCTTTCTAATTATTTTATTCTGTACTAGATTTTGTAGCGATTTCGCTAAGATTTCCCTGCTGGTAGAAAAGCCTCATTAGAATCAGCACAGGAAAAATATAAAGATAATAAATAATATAAGATAATAAAATTTTAAAAAAATAAAGTTCCTGTAAAAATGTAAGTAAAAATCAATGTGCAGATTCGTTTAAAATCACTGTGAATAGTTTAGGCTTCTGCTCATGTTCGAATAGGATAGGCTGTATTTATTGCGCTATAAACAATTAAAAAAAAGGCCAAGGAGACTGGAGAAGAGCTTAACTCAGCTGTAAACAAATTTCAGGCATTTTTCAATTTAAGTGCATAGGTATTCAGAACTTAAGCTTTTGCCAAAGAGCGAATTGGTAGCTTAAGCATATAGGAACATATCACTATGTCGAAACAATTTATGCTCATGAAAAAGAATTTACTTCATTGTAAAATCTCTTCCACAGTGTCAATGTGTAAATAAATTAAGCTGCATGTTATTTAATTTAATAATTATGAACTAGTTTAACCTCCGACGCAGGCGTTTTTAGAGGAGCTCGTATTTTGTCCCTTCACAGAAACGTCTGCTCAGCCGAGAACAACCTTCCTTTCCCAAGCTTAGCCAATCACATTGTACTTTCCAAATTCTAGAAATCTGACCTTGACCGCAGGGTAACCCGATAATTACACGATATGCATGAAAAACAAGGAAAGCTTTATGAACTCTAATAGATGTTAGACTCAAAGAGGCAAAAGTAAGATTTAGTTAGTTTTTAGAATACTCCGAGCACTGTATAACCTCAGCGAAGGAAAGAAGAGACGGAAAAAGGTAACTTTACACTTCCACGAGGTTATGAGTCATGTTTAGCCTGTCAACACTTTATTTTACAACTGTTGATTCCGATAATTATACATTATATTCTTACGCGTCCAATTTTGTTTGAAAACGGAGATTTTTTGTCCTCTTTGGCCTTGACAGCCTACACGTATCCGGTGAATACGGCCAACGAAAACGTATCTTTTCAAAACCGCTCTCAAGAATGGAGATTTTTGGAAACGCCGTTTTGCTGTGCTCGATTACCAGCCGCTGTTCGGGAAATCAGCCCGCGCTCACGAAAACGGAGTTTTTTGAAAACGATTACGTCACGGTCTCAGATACCTAGGAATGCGCATGCTCCTGTCAAAGATGGTACCGTTTTTTAAAGCATCATGAGATCGCTTTTTCTTTAGGGTGGGGAAAAATGCTTATAAAAAAACTGCAACGTATAGACGCAGATCTTTTTCGAAGCGCAATAAAAAGTTCTGTATTCAAACAAATCGGACACGTATGGACGGCTACAGAATCCGTTGTCGGTTACTCAGTGTAGATAGAATATTGGCGCGAAGAATTTTAATGCGCTGTATTGTGGCGGAGGTACACTTCTCTGCGGGATTTATTTCTTATACTCGCACGTTCAAATATTGATCATTACATTGATCCATCGATTTACATGGTTTTGAATACTTCATCAAATGAATGTTTACTCGAAAATAATGTATACGCACTCAGTACTAAATCAGTTACAATTTGTCTTAGCCTAGTGGCACGAAGAATTTGACTTTTTCAAGTATAATCAACAATACTCGACGCGTGTCATGCATCGAATATTCATGTAAAATGTGTAACAAATAATTTAAAGTCATATTTATGAACTTGTTTGGCGGAAACAGTTCTTTAATGCATGAGTTAATTAATAAATGATTTAACTTTTACAAGTAATCTCTGCATTTTATTGATTGGAACTTAATTTACAAGCACGTTTATTATCTAGATTTAAGAAAAAAAATTATAAAAATATGTATTCTTTTCTGATTTCGTGGTGATATTAGAAGAAAGGAGTATCTTTTTCACTATTCATCTGTCAAGTTTTGAAGAGAGGACTAACCTTAAAACATTTTTTCGTGCTTTATTGATTTTGGCATAATATTTAGAATTTATTTTAACTTCAGGCCGAAGAAGTTGGCACATAGTACGTTAGGTAAAAATTTAAAGAAAATTGTACGTTGAATTTATCCTTTGCCACGTTTGTTTATCATAACTTATGGCGAATTTGTTTTGATGACGGTGAGGGCTGTAAATCGCGCACGTTATATTTACCAAACGCACTATTCATATTTGATGGATTTCTGAACACAATTTGAATGCATTCTAGCAATGAACGTAATTGGTAATAAGGATCGGGGGCACAAAGAAGGGGAAAGGAATATATATATATATATATATGTAGTTGCTTTTTTTAATTCCAACTTATGACGCGTGCTTAACACGACTCTTCCTTTCAGTAAACTCAAAAACTTCGTTAACTGCACAGTTCGTTGACTGCAGTTTAATGAATTCAAATTATTCACGCGCGAAAAGACCATAATTGTCATAATTACTCTTGGCGGAAAAAATAACATTAAAATTTCTTTGCGTCGCGCGTTTAAGTCTCGCTTTGCTGATCTTTATTATTACAGCCTACTGAACAATTGATCAAGAGGAGGGTAACTGTTTTGATTTATTGTTTTTATGATTGGCTAATCTTTCCAAAGTATCAGAGTGTGATTATCTTTTCAATGAAAGAGTCTATTGTCAAAAAGAAACGGTGCGTCAGAAAGAACTGTCAATCGTGCTGTCATCAATGAGACCATATTAACTCGTGAAACATTCCAAGATATCATTGATGAGCCTGGCTTTACAAGAGACGACATTCACCAGAAGGTAAGACCCAATTCAACTGTATGAACTTGCAAGTTGAATGCGTTCTTTCGTTTGTGTCAAATTATATTTTGATATTGCGAAGCCAGAATAGCCTATATATTTGTACCAAATTTACTTTCTTGAGTTTAGAAAGATATCTAAATTTTCCATCTTATTTTGAAAACTTTCGCTCTTGCGCGCTCTAAAATAGCAGCATTTCTTGGAGCCAACAGAAACCTAAGCCAACGAACCCAAATTCGAGTCATTTTCAATAAGTGCCTGGTGTAATTTTTTAATTCAGACTGATTTGACTATATATCCACAAGACTTCAATGAAAAAAAAGAAGATCAAAAAGCTCAGACTGATAAGGAAATCAATTTGGTGTTACTGGCGCGAACGTTTTCTTTGGTTACTGTTAAGTTACATTAGTTAATGTATTTCCGAGGAGTAATACGATTTGCAGAAAAAAAAGTCAATCGAAACTAAAATAAAATCAAAATGCGATAAAAAAATTGACATTAGTGATCACTTTTATTAAAAGGTGTAGTTTTCCTCGCGTTTTGCGTGTCTGATTTTATGAGCATGATTTTATTTTTGGCGGGAACACTTTGGGAGCAATTTCGTTGTTTCGTGTTTGCAGGCTAGATAGTTAGTGTAGTGGATCGTGACAAATAAGTTGTAGAAACAAAAAAAAAAAAAAGAAGAAGAAGAAAAGGTGAAGACGTCGTTAAAAAATGGCCCACACTGTGAACCACGTCTTTCTTGAATTTACGAGCATCATAAATTATGTGCATTTTATTTTGCTGACCACTTACTTTATCGTATGTTCGCATGTTATTTTTCCAGTGTAAACCTTGCCGGCTATAAATAATGAAGTCTGTTTACCTTGCTTTCCTGTTGGCCCTGCTGATTGTGACAGTGACATCGCGCCGTGTTATGTCACGTAATTTCCGTTCGCGTGACTTTTTAAGAAGTCGTACCCATAATGGTAAGTGGATCTGAGAAGTGGGCTAACCTTAGCTGTATCAAGAGGTACGGGGGATGCGAGGTTGGTGGGGACACCCACTCCCTTATAGTTTTTACAGGCTTATTTCAAAACGCTTTTATACATAGCCCTCTTTTTAGCAGCTACAATTTCGGGGACAATAGGCCCCTTCTATGTTTTTTCAATTTTTTACATCCCATTTGGCAAAATCGATCGACACCGTTGTAAAGAGGAGTCTAAAATTAGTAAAGTTGCCGATTTCGAGAGCAATTTCTTAAATTGCTTGACGAAGACGAATACAGCTCCGCAAAGTCGCGAAATCTTACAGACGTTTGTAGCCCCCACCCCCACCATACGACCATTCCGCGCCTTTGCGAAGGTATATCTTGTAGTACTGTCAAGCTTGCAAAGTT